TTAAAGACCTGAAATATTTCAGTTGGTGTGCAATGAATCTGAAATATGTGAAAGTTTCATTTTTATCATTACATTATGGAAAAAAATGACCTTTATCACAATATGCTAATTTTTTGAGAAGGGCCTGTAGATATCTCTTCTCTTTTCACTCAGACTGTTATACCTACACTGCACTCACAAATCCTGCAAACAGCTTGATAATATTTAACCCTTTCACTTTCTTCTTAGAAAAGCAAACTCAAGCCTGGCTTTCTGTTTCTAACTTGCTTTCTTTATTCTTTAACATCTGCTGGCAATAAGGAGGAGGCTGGCTCACCAGTTGACAGTAAACAGGAGGTATTTGGTGTCTATTCATCTATTTGTACTATATATCTGGAAACAATACTTCTCCCTCAGTACTCATCTTCCCATAGCATATCTGTTACTGAGGCTTTATGCACCACGTCATTATTAAGAAAGTCCATCCTTAATGCTTCAGTTGGAGTTACAAAGCATAAAAGTGCTGCAGAAAAAAATGATAGTTTATAGCATTCAAGTTTATGTTCAGTCAGTGCTGAGGAGGAAGTCATACTCCATCCATCCATCCATTATCTTTACCCGTTTATTCCATTTTGGGTCACGGGGGAAGTCATACTCAGGTTTGCAAAATTATATCTGAACAAATCAGAAGACATCTGGAACAATGCTTGTTTGACAGACCAAAGTGAAAATGTTTGGCCATAATGCAGAGCAGTACACGCCTGGCACTAGTCAGACAACATGTCGACACAAACACCCTACACCAAGGGTGACCAATATGTCAACCGGTTGATCTCAATCTACCAGTTGATCGCAAAGGTATAATGGGTAGATCACATGGCATTTAAAAAAACAGACGTCAGCCTGTCATTCAAGAAATTTATTGCTTGATTGACAGACAGGTCAGCCAGTCTGAGGCCCCGTTTACACGATGCAAAACCATAGCCTTTCTGCTGCGGTTCAGCTGTTCGTTTACACGACAACAGCCTCATTCTCTATGAAACTGAAGGTTTCTGAATCCAGATCTCAGAGTGGAGATATTTTTTGGGGAAACCCAATGGAGATGTGAAATGTCACGCATGTAAATGGTAAATGGACTGCATTTAAAGAGCGCTTTTCTATCTTATTGATACTCAAAGCTCTTTACAACACAATCTGTTATCACAATCCTCAGTGTTTAGACCCATTTGCAGGCAGGCGAGCGAGGCAGGAGTTTAAATAAAAATAATTTATGTAAACAACAAAATAAAAAGCTGTCGGTGCAGCAAAACTTACTCTGGCAAAACAGGATCAAGAACAAGACTGAACAGGACATCAGAGTACACAGGCGGCGCAGATCATCAGGTGGACAAAAACAGACAGGACAGAGGAGGACTGAGATGTCTGTGAATACAGAACAATGACCGGACGAGGAGTAGAGGAGAGAAAGGCTTTTTATAAGACAGAGGGAGAGTGTGTAATGAGAGCACCTGGGCAGGTGGCTGATGAGGGACAGGTGTGAATGATAAAGACTGAGGACTGGAGAGGCAGACTGAGGAGTGAGTGGAAAACAACAACAGAATCAGATATATAGGAACAGAAATCACACAAAGAGCAGAACAACAAAAGTACAGAGAGCAGAGCGGGGAACACAAATAAACAGACAGGGACAGAGTCTGTCATAACCCCCCTCTCAAGGGACGGCTCTTGACGTCCCCTAGAACACAACACAGATTGGGTGGGAGGATGGGGGAAACAAGGATGGAGGGCACGAAAAGAAAATCTAAACAAAAACCGACAGGGTAGACCTGGGAGCTAAAATAAGCAAAACACAAGTATTTCTATGAACGGCCCTGGGCATCGTTCCTAGCAAGCCTGAGTTCGGGCGGACGTCCTGGGGACCATCCAGAGCAGGACCAGAGTTCTGGCGGACGTCCCGGGGACCGTCCAGAGCGGGACCAGAGTTTGGGCGGACGTCCCGGGGACCGTCCAGAGCGGGACCAGAGTTCAGGCGGACGTCCCGGGGACCGTCCATAGCGGGACCAGAGTTCGGGCGGACGTCCTGGGGACCGTCCAGAGCGGGACCAGAGTTCAGGCGGATGTCCCGGGGACCATCCAGAGCGGGACCAAAGTTCGGGCGGACGTCCCGGGGACCGTCCAGAGCGGGACCAGAGTTTGGGCGGACGGCCCGGAGACCGTTCAGAGCGGGACCAGAGTTCGGAGAAGGATGGAATGGGACCAGAGATGGTGGTGCTGGCAGCTGCTGGGGAAGGCGGGACGTTGGCAGCTGTTGGGTCAGGACGGGGTTCAGAAACTGCTGGACCAGACCTGGGTTCAGCAGCCGGGAGGTCGAACGAGGGTTCAGCAGCCGATGGGTCAGAGACGGGTTCAGCAGCCGATGGGTCAGAGACGGGTTCTGCCGCCGAAGAGTCGAAGGCGGGTTTTGCAGCCGAAGAGTCGAAGGCGAGTTCTGCAGCTGAAGAGTCGAAGGCGAGTTCTGCAGGCGAAGAGTCAAAGGCAAGTTCTACAGGCGAAGAGTCGAAGGCGAGTTCTGCAGGCGAAGAGTCGAAGGCAAAGCAAATTCCTAGTTTGTGAACCTCGTTCATTGACATAGCAATAATAAACTGATTCTGATTTGTTCAATTAGCTTTGTAGAGCTCTAGTAGAGTGCTGTATGAATTGGTAAATGAGGGCACAGATTGTAGTGTAAAGCGCTTTGAGTATCTTGATAAGATAGAAAGGCGCTATATAAGTACAGTCCATTTACCATTTTTACCATTTACATATGACAGTTTAGGTCAAAATACCGTCATTTTAAAGCCACAGTACTGTAGTTTGGCCAGGACTCCCTTGAAAAAGAGGTTTTTAATCTTAATGTGTTTTTATCCTAGTAAAATAAAATTAAAAAGTTCACAATCTCTTATTTGGCAACCCAGCTGACATGGAAACTACAGTGTTTTCATGTAAACCCACTCGTTTTTTGTTTATTATCTCCAATAAACATTGAAAAAACACTAAAATTTCCAGAGGTTGTTCTGTGTAAACGGGGCCTTATAGTAGATAGAACACTTTGACTTGGTCATGTTAAAAGGAGCTCCTTGCTGAAAAAGTGTGGTCCTGCCCTGTACCAACCGTCAGCTCGGTGTTAAGGGGCTGATGTTTCAGGCCTGTTTTGTAGCTCCAGGACCAGGGCACCTCACAGTCATTGACTCGACCACAAACTCTGTAGACCAGACAAGTCTAGAAGTAAATGTTGGCCTTCTGTCCAACAGCTGAAGCTTGGACTGAACTATGCATCTGAACAATGATCCTCCACAATTACAAAAGAATGGTGACATTTACCACATTCTGCCATCTGACGTTTTTCATGTGAGATACTTCATGTGAGCTTTTTGATTATTTTCTCCAGATTCTTTCAGAGTTTGTCATCTCATTGTGTCAACATTGACACAATGAGACATCAGACCTGAGACATCAAACCTGTTCTTTCACTCTGTCTGCCTGCTTGTCATCTTATGGACTCCCTACCTTGTTCACTTATCTCCCCCTTTGTTCCTACATTGTCTGAGCCTGCACTCTTCACCTCTGCACTTTGTTTTGCACATCTTTTCTCCTGCCCCAACTCAGCTCTCTCAGTTGGACCAGGAGACCACTCCTCGGCACAAAAAGGAGGTACACATTCTCAACCATGGTGTTTTCTGGATGCTTTCATGTTGCTCTTTCTTTAGCCTTCAAAATAAATCCTGTAAAGATTTTTGACATTTAGGGATGTATTTCTGCCTGCTGCCAAGTCTGTGTGTGCATGTTTGTGTGCGTGTGGGTTTGTATGTTTGTTTGTTTGTTTTCATGTTGTCTCATGAACTGTTGGTGAACATTTTATGAAACTTACAGACAGTAATCACTGGATGTACACACACAACATTTGAATTGATCTTCAATCAAGATAGCTGCAAAAACCAACTGACCCCATAAAAACATACAAAATTGTCCAATTTTACAAATATTTATCTATAATTTTTACATTAAATATCATTGCATTAAATCAAAACTCTTGTTAGAAAATTGTTGAATTGTATTGTGCTGCATGGGTATTTGCTACTAATGTATCTTTAATGCATTACCTAAAAAAGTTAAATCTGGTCCTCTGGACATTCAAAAAAAACAAAACAAAGCAAATCAACAAAAAAATGTAGAAACGTTTCGTCTCTCATCCGAGAGACTTCCTCAGTCTGAGGAGCTGTATTCAGCTCAGTCTCTTAAATAGCACCGTCTCAGGGTGGATCAACCAGTTTTGCTGCTGACAACCAAAACCAGCTGATCACATGCTCAAGAAGGACCATCAGCATAACAATGGATCATTAGCACACTGATTAGCTGCCCTTTAGTTGGCAGCTCAGAACACCACATACAGAACACCATGGACTTTGTGGACAAGGTGAGGGATGTCATCATGGAGACTGATGAAACAATGGTCTCTTTTGATGTCACAGCACTCTTTATGTGCATTCCTGTTGATGATGCAGTAGAGGTGGTCAGCTTAAGATTAAAATCAGACACCACTCTGAGCAGCAGGACCACGGTTTCCACAGAGCAACTGTGTCAACTCTTGAAACTGTGCCTGCAGTCAACCTACTTCACATATGGGGGCCAATATTATAGGCAGAAACATGGGTGCTTTTTGTTATTATTTCCTTGACTTTTGACACAACGTGATCTGATTTAGTATTTCATTGTTTCTAATTGTTTTTGGTTTTATATTTTTATTCCATGTGTTGTAAATATATCTTGCTACTTTTTATCTGATGATGTGATATTTTTGTTAAGCACTTTGGTAACAGTTTCTGTTTTAAATGTGCTCTATTAATAAATCTGACTTGAGTTGACTTGACTTGTTCTATGGGGTCTCCAGTTTCTCCTATTGTGGCCAACCTGTACATGTAGGAGGTAGAAAAGAGAGCCTTGACGTCCTTTTCAGGGACACCACCAAGTCATTGGTTCAGGTATGTTGACGACACCTGGGTTAAAATCAAATCTCAGGAAGTCCAACATTTTACTGACCACATCAACTCTGTGGATAAATATATCAAGTTCACACAAGAAGATGTAAAAAATGACAGGTTGGCTTTCTTGGACTGTGAGGTCTCAGTCTCTGATAGAGGACATTTGCAAACTGAGGTGTACCGCAAACCCACACACACAGACCAGTATTTGCAGTTTGACTCCCATCACCCTTTGGAGCACAAGTTAGGAGTCATCAGGACTCTGTATCACAGAGCAGACAGCATCCCCACTAGCTCAGGAGCCAGGCAGAAGGAGAAATCCCACACAAGACAGGCTCTAGAGCAATGTGGATATCCTAACTGGGCCTTCCTGAAAGCAGAGAAGAAACCCAAACAGGACTCCAGTCAGCCAACTGGTGAAAAGGAGGAACCCAGACCCAGACCAGTGGTCATTCCATATGTTGAGGGAGTATCAGAGAAACTGAGACGTTTATTTTCTAAACATAACGTCCCAGTGGCTTTTAAACCCCAAAATACATTACGGCAAAGACTGGTTCATCCCAAAGATCCAGTCCCCCGGCACAAACAGAGCAATGTTGTGTATGCTGTTCAGTGTCAGGAGGGCTGTGATCAGTCTTACATCGGGGAAACAAAACAGCCACTGGCCAAAAGGATGGCCCAGCACAGATCAACATCATCAGGCCAGGACTCTGCGGTCTACACTCATCTCCAGGCCAGCGGTCACTCTTTCAGGGATGAAGATGTTCACATCCTGGACAGAGAGGAACGATGGTTTGAGAGAGGAGTAAAGGAGGCCATCTTTGTGAAAAGAAACCGTCCATCATTAAACAGGGGTGGAGGCCTCCGGGTTCAACTGTCCCCCTCTTACAATGCTGTGATTGCTAGTATCACTCAGCCCTCTGTGAACAGTAAACAGCCATCAGTGTGCTAATGATCCATTGTTATGCTGATGGTCCTTCTTGAGCATGTGATCAGCTGGTTTTGGTTGTCAGCAGCAAAACTGGTTGATCCACTCTGAGACGGTGCTATTTAAGAGACTGAGCTGAATACAGCTCCTCAGACTGAGGAAGTCTCTCGGATGAGAGACGAAACGTTTCTACATTTTTTTGTTGATTTGCTTTGTTTTGTTTTTTTTGAATGTCCAGAGGACCAGATTGAACTTTTTTAGATTTTTCTACCTGGGTTATTGAGCATGCATCAGGATATTTAATGCATTACATTTTGACAATTAAAAAAATGGCTTCAAAATGTAGTTTAGATGCATAATGCATTTCACTTAGAACTGTTGTGGAGTAGAAAATATCAAGCTGAGATAAAATACAGCTTTTACTAAATGTCTCCCAAAATTCATTTCAATTCAGTTCAATTCAAAACTACTTTATGAATCCCAGAGGGAAATTATATGGTGTGGTAACTCATCATCCTGGTTTCATTAATGAGTTGTTATAGATGCTGATGGCTGTGGGCAGGAAGGATCTCTTGTAGCGGTCTTTCCTACAACGGATTTGAAGAAACCTCAGACTGAAGACACTCTGTTGTTGTATGACAGTCTGATGAAGAGGATGCTGACGGTTGTCTATAATGTTCTTCATTTTATGAAGAATCCTTCTTTGTACAATCATCTCCAAAGGTTCTAGAGGAGTCCCCAGAACTGAGCTAGCCTTCTTTATGAGCTTGTTGATCTTTTTTAAGTCACTTGCTCTGGTGCTGCTACCCCAGCAGATGATGGCAGAAGAGATAGTGCTCTCTACAACAGACTTATAGAAGATATGCAGCATCTTGCTGCAAACGTTGAAGGACTTCAGCTTCCTCAAGAAGTACAGTCTGCTCTGTCCCTTCTTGTAGACGGCTTCACGGTTGCATTTTCAGTCCAGTCTATTGTCCAGGTGAACTCCAAGGTATTTATACTTCTCCACCACCTCCACTTCTTCTCGCATGATGGAAATAGGGTTGGACCTGTTCCTGATTCTCCTGAAATCTACAATCATCTCCTTTGTTTTGTTCACATTCAAGATGAGATGATTGTTTCCACACCATGCTACAAAGCGGTCCACCAGTTCCCTGTACTCAGCTTCTTGTCCATCTCTGATACACCCGACTACTGCAGAGTCATCAGAATATTTCTGCAGATGACAGGAGTCTGTTTTGTACTGGAAATCTGAGGTGTACAGAGTGAAAAGGAATGGTGAGAGTACAGTCCCCTGTGGTGCTCCTGAGCTACTGACCACCTGGTTAGACACACAACCCTTCAGTCTCACAAACTGTGGTCTGTCCGTCAGGTAGTCTTTGGTCCAGGTGATTGTTGAAGCCTCCACCTGAGTCTTCTTGAGTTTCTGACAAAGCAAATCAGGCTGGATTGTGTTAAATGCACTGGAGAAATCAAAGAACATGACTCTCACAGTGCTGTCTGCCTTTTCTAGATGACAGTGAGTTTGCTGAAGCAGATGTATGATGGCATCTTCAACTCCAAGTCCACGATGATAAGCAAACTGCAGTGGGTCTTGATATGTGCTTGTTTGTCTAGTCAGGTGGATCAGCAGAAGTCTCTCTAGGACCTTCATGATGTGGGATGTCAGGGCAACAGGTCTATAGTCATTGAGGACTGATGGGTGAGTTTTCTTTGGCACTGGAACAAGACAGGATGTTTTCCACAACACTGGAACTTTCTCCTGGGTCCAGCTAAGGTTGAAGAGATGCTGCAGAACCCCACAGAGCTGCTCTGCACAGACCTTCAGGACTCTGGGACTGACACCATCTGGACCTGCAGCCTTATTCTGGTTCAGTCTCTCCAGCTGCTTCCTCACCTGACTTCTGGAGACGCAGAGGTGGGAGGCAAAGAAGCAGCATCTTCTGATTTGGTTGAAGACCAATATGTAGAAGAAGGGTCCATGACTGAGGTGGTAGATACAATATTTGAGGTGTGACAGGACAGCCTTGGGTCAATGGAGGGTGGTATGTATGTTTGGCTGTGGGCAAGAGAGGAGGATGCTGAGCTTGTTCCTGAACTGAACCTATTGAAGAATGTGTTCAGTTCATTGGCTCTGTCCAGGCTTCCATCCTTCTGATCCTCCTTCTGCTTGAAGCCTGTGATCTGTTTCATCCCTGACCACACCTCTCTGATATTGTTCTGTTGGAGCTTGCTCTCCAGCGTCTTCTTAAACACCTCCTTGCTGTTTCTTATCTTGACTTTTAGTTGCTTCTGTGTGCTCCTCAATAATTCCCTGTCTCCCTCAATGAAGGCTCTTTTTTCTGGTTTAGCAGTTCCTTCAGGTCAGTGGTAATCCAGGGTTTGTTATTGGGGAAGCATCTCACTGTTCTGGTGGGGATGGGGTTGTTTACACAGAAGTTTATATAGTCAGTCACACACTCAGTCATGGCATTGATGCACTCTCCATGTGGCTGGCACAGTGTATCCCAGTCTGTAGCCTCAAAACAACCCCGCAGGGCGTCTTCAGCTTCCGTTGACCATTTTCTCACTGTTCTCTTTATTGCAGGTTGCCTCTGAACAAAGGGTTTATATTTTGAGCAGAGAAACACAAGATTGTGATCTGATTTGCCAAGAGGGGGTCTTGCTTTAGCGATGTATGAATCCTTGACATTTGCATAAAACAAGTCCAGCGTTTTGTTTTCTCTGGTAGAGCAGCTGACAAACTGTTCGAATGTCGGAAGTGTAGCAGAGAGAGTGGCATGATTAAAATCCCCAGATATTGCAACAAACGCACTAGGGTGTTGTGTCTGTAGCTTAGCAACCTCGGAGCTGATGACATCACACGCAGTCTCGGCAACAGCATTGGGTTGAATGTAAACAGATGCCAAAATAACACTGGTGAACTCTCTTGGCAAATAATATGGACGACAACTTAGGACTAACAGTTCAATATCTGGACTGCAGAGACGACACTTCACAGTAACATGTCCGGGATTACACCATCTGTTGTTCACAAGCACTGCCAACCCACATTCTTTCCTTTTGCCACTCTTCTTTAAATCTCTATCTGCTCATATGGTCAGAAAGCCTGGCAAGGAAACGCTGGAGTCGGGGATATGATCCCGCAGCCATGTCTCAGTGAAACACATAACACTGCATTCCCAATACTCTGGATGGGTCCTTGTTAGGGCTTGAAGTTCATCCAACTTGTTTATCCCAGCGATCTCACATTGCCCATCATGATTGATGGAAGAGATGGTTTAAACTGCATTCTTCTTTCTTTCTCCCTCTTCTTTGCTCCTGCTCTGCATCCATGACGCCTCCTTTTCAACTCATTTGGGATTTGAGGCTTTAGTTGAGATATTATTTGAGCTTTGGAGATGTTAATCAGCTGCTCCCAGTTGTAAAAAACAACCTTGTTGTTATGGTTACGCATCATGACAAATATCCAAAAGCAAAGATATTTCTGTAAAAATCCTTCCAGCCAAACAGCATCCAACACTGGAGGAAATAATCATCCAAAAAAAAGCGATTTATATCCAGAAAATGAGGAATTAAAGTTTTCAAAAGTAATATCTCAGAATGAAAGTAACAGAGCTACTCCAACATGCAGCCACCTTGAGCGGCGCAATTCTAGAAATTCTAGATTTTGTCAATGTCCCAATAATAATAAATAAAAGAAAAATCTAATTAGATGCTAAGTTTAGTCAGCAAAGAATTTATTAAATATTTACAATAATTCTGTTAATTGAAATTGTAGCATGAGCTTTAATTATGGTGCTCATTTGCTTTTGTTGAAACAATTGTTTCCAGATTTATCTCCATCAGTACCATCTAAGGGCACAAAGTTGGTTATAAATTACAAAATGTATTTATTATTAACACAAGTGTATGGTCATCTTTTGACATACAGTGCCTTGCGAAAGTGTTCGGCCCCCTTGAACTTTTCAACCTTTTGCCACATTTCAGGCTTCAAACATAAAGATATAAAATTTTATTTTTTTGTGAAGAATCAACAAGTGGGACACAATCGTGACGTGGAATGAAATTTATTGGATGTGTCAAACTTTTTTAACAAATAAAAAACTGAAAAGTGGGGCGTGCAATATTATTCGGCCTCCTTGCGTTAATTCTTTGTAGCGCCGTCTTTTGCTGCAATTCCAGCTGCAAGTCTCTTGGGGTATGTCTCTATCAGTTTTGCACATGGAGAGACTGAAATTCTTGCCCATTTTTTCTTGCAAAACAGCTCGAGCTCAGTGAGGTTGGATGGAGAGCGTTTGTGAACAGCAGTCTTCAGCTCTTTCCACAGATTCTCGATTGGATTCAGGTCTGGACTTCGACTTGGCCATTCCAACACCTGGATACGTTTTTTTGTGAACCATTCCATTGTAGATTTGGTTTTATGTTTTGGATCATTGTCTTGTTGGAAGATAAATCTCCGTCCCAGTCTCAGCTCTCTTGCAGACTCAAACAGGTTTTCTTCCAGAATGGTCCTGTATTTGACCCCATCCATCTTCCCATCAATTCTGACCATCTTCCCTGTCCCTGCTGACGAAAAGCAGGCCCAAACCATGATGCTGCCACCACCATGTTTGACAGTGGGGATGGTGTGTTCAGGGTGATGAGCTGTGTTGCTTTTATGCCAAACATATTGTTTTGCATTGTGGCCAAACAGTTTGATTTTGGTTTCATCTGACCAGAGCACCTTCTTCCACATGTTTGGTGTGTCTCCCAGGTGGCTTGAGGCAAACTTTAAACAACACTTTTTATAGATATCTTTGAGAAATGGCTTTCTTTTTGCCACTCTTCCATAAAGGCCAGATTTGTTCAGTGTACGACTGATTGTTGTCCTATGGACAGACTCTCTCACCTCAGCTGTAGACCTCTGCAGTTCATCCAGAGTGATCATGGGCCTCTTCTTGGCTGCATCTCTGATCAGTCTTCTCATTGTTCGAGTTGAAAGTTTAGAGGGACAGCCGGGTCTTGGTAGATTTGCAGTGGTCTGATACTCCATCCATTTCAATATAATTGCTTGCACAGTGCTCCTTGGGACGTTTAAAGCTTGGGAACTTTTTTTGTATCCCAATCCGGCTTTAAACTTCTCCAAAACACTATCTCGGACATGCCTGGTGTGTTCCTTGGTCTTCATGATGCTCTCTGCGCTTTGAACAGAACCCTGAGACTATCACAGAGCAGGTGCATTTATATGGAGACTTGATTACACACAGATGGATTCTATTTATCATCATCAGTTTTTTGGCACAACATTGGATCATTCATAGATCCTCACTGAACTTCTGGAGTGAGTTTGCTGCACTGAAAGTAAAGGGGGCCGAATAATATTGCACGCCCCACTTTTCAGTTTTTATTTGTTAAAAAAAGTTTGACACATCCAATAAGTTTCATTCCACTTCAAGATTGTGTCCCACTTGTTGTTGATTCTTTACAAAAAATTTAAATTTTACATCTTTATGTTTGAAGCCTGAAATGTGGCAAAAGGTTGAAAAGTTCAAGGGGGCCAAATACTTTCGCAAAGCACTGTACTTGTTGATGTACTGCTAATTTCTTCGATTTCCGCATGCCTCACATTCTCTTCCAGTTCCTGAATAAATCGCAGGATGTCTTGCTGAAGCATCAGGCCAGCATTAACGAGCTGAAGAGAGCCCTGAGGGAACCAAACAGCAAGCTGATGAACCGCGAGAAGCGTCTGTCTGCTAGCTCTCCACCTGGAACACCTGAGAAAAAGGCAGTGAGTAGGAGCTGGTTGAAGAAGACTGACAAAAGTTATGATTCCTCATGACTCAGTGAGACTACCTGTATAAATAAAGGTTGAAAAATTTTGACCAATGAAATTACAGAGCAGGTCACCGTTTAGAGGGGGAGGGGCAAAACTTTGTCCCACTCCTCTGCCTACTGTACAATGAAGTACTTGCAGCCACTTGAAATACTGTAAGTGTGAATCGTGCATTAATGTGGCACTCCGAGCTCAATGGGAGGCTTGGATGATTAGCGGCAAGAAATTGTTTACCAAAACTGTCCTCATGCGAAGGACAACTTTTGCTCAAGTCTGCCTGTGGATCCTGACAGTGTGGAGCAGTGTAAAAAAAAATCTATTACTAACGGGTTTGGAAAGGCAGCTGCATGATGAAAATGAGAGCATAAACTCAATGGTGTAGTGCGCAGGAGGAAGATGAAGATAGCAATCAATGACTTCCTGGTAGACTACTGTATTGTTTTAACCACCACCTGTTGCAGGCACTGTCAAAAAAACAAAAAAACATTTACTGTACATATGCACAGTACATACAGTACATGTACACAGTATATGTACACTGTACATATGTACAGTACGTACTAGAGGTGTAACGGTATGTTAAAATCACATTTCAGCTCAGTTCATTTTCGGTACAAAAAAAGACAAAATGAAGACTTACAAAATGTTTATTTTGAAAATATTCCAAGTAAACAATACGTTTGTGTAAAAATAAATTAAAGTGACCCATTGGGATATTTTAAATAAATGGCACTCTTTACAATAAATAAGCTATACTAACAATAATAAAAATCTTAATAAATACAATAACAGTCAGAAGCAGAACAATAAGCAGCAACAGACTGTTTACAATCTAACTAATCAAGTTTTAAGTTTTTGGCCAAAAAGACCAACTTGTCCACATTTTCTGCCTAAAGCACAGATCTAGTTGCAGTGAATATCTCCAGCAGTGGAGAAAACTGCACACTAACAACAGTAGCAAGAATAGAGAGGTAGAGCTTTGCTAATTTTGCAGTGTGGCTGTATTTGACCTCATCATTACTCACAATCTCTTGGACCTGCTCCCACAAGTGGGGCAGGTCCCTGGAAAAGTTCAGAGTTCAGTCATGACAGACTTCTTAGCTGGAGGTGATCTCTGGTGGATTTCCCTAAGAGGAAGAAAACTCCACTACTATTGCTCTCTCAGACTGGAAATAAAACACAAAGAGGTTAAAAAAAAGAGTTAATAAGATTATAATTTTATATTAAAAAAAGTTAATTAGATAATTTTAAAATAACAATACCTCTTCTTGAACAGTCATCGTTTGTTATGAGGTGGTTGAATTTCTCGTTCATAATCAGTGCAGGGCTTTAATCTGGTCCAGGGCTTGTTGACAATATCAGTTTTAACTTTTTCATAAAGTGCTGCTACAACTTTTTGGCTGAAGTGTTGACATGATGGGATGTCATAGCGGGGCTCAATAACTTTAAAGCCGGCGCATCAACAACAGAAACGTAGTTCCAGAGCTTTAAAAACTCCTACAGCTTGTGTTATTGCGCTGGTCCAATCTGAATTACCTGATAAATGTTGTTTAAATGCTGCTGTTATTGGTCATTGTACCAACTGTAGAAGAGACGTTCACGTTCGGATGATGTTGTTTCAAGTGCTTTAACAAGTTAGACATTTGGCCTGCTGCAAATAAAATAATAGAATAATAGAATAGAATAAAATAACCGAAACGGTACGCACGTGGACGGTTCAATACACCCACGTGTACACCTCTAGTACGTACAGTACTGTATGTACATACTACGTACTGTACATACTGTACATACTGTACATATGTAAACCACAGTCCATATGTACAGTGTACATATACTGTGTACATACAAACTTTAAGTACTGTACATATGTACAGTACGTACAGTACTGTACGTACCGGTATGTTACCGGTACATATTAAAAGTTAAAAAAATATTTTTGTGTAAATATCTCATGCAACAATGGGGACACCTGCAGTTTATAGGCAAGTGTGGCCTATATATGTACAAAATTATTATTATTATTAGTGGGCGTGGCTTATTTTCAGGTGCGCTCAATAGTCCGGAAATTACGGTAATTCCATCCAACATCAAATGTTGTCTGCTGCAGAAATTGTAATTTTCCGTACAACTTTAATTCAGAGAAATGGGAGTGTTGTTGTACGTGACTAGCAGGTGAAGGTTGGTCCACTTCATGATGTTTTTCATGAAACCCAGTCAAACTCTGGTTGTTTTGTAATGGCTGAATTGCCAATCTTTGCAGATTAATCGTGTGGTTTCTGAGTCTGTCATGACATCCACAAGTTGGCATATTTTAAATAGAAGTTCGTATAATTGTTTTTAATAAATGTACTCAGTAGGGCTACATGTGTATCAGATTTCTGACTTTGGTTTTCTTGCTTTTGCATGAAACTGTGTAAAGTACTAATCTTCTTCGGTGTGCGTCTGAGCTCTAATAGCTGTTTCTATTTCTTTTAAACTCTCTCCTCTGCTGCGTGCTGGCCAGTTGGGGGGCCAGCAAATGGGAAAGGACCCCATTAACAGTTTGTCTTCTGAGGGTTTCGCCCAGAAGACTGTGGTGACTTCACCTGAGGTTGCACTTTTTTTTACTGTTCTTTTCTTATTGAAAGGTTATCACAATATGAGTTGGTCCAACTCAGTTTTTATCATGATATCTACCTTTATCATTTGTATATAAATTCCAGGGTTTACTAATATTTCATTAAATAGCAGTTGCACTTTTTATTCCCTCTTCTGAGATGGAAGGCATTGTGTGATGTTCATTTTTTGCTAGCTGTTGTGCCTGGCATGTCTAACTGTGCTTAATCTATGCCAACATGTAGGGCTCTGAGGAGTGGGTATTGATAGAAAAGCAGCAACCTTTTCAACAAAACCATGGCTTGATGGCAGAAGAAAAGAATAAATCTCACTTATCTGATTTCACGTGGGAGAAAAAGGAGCTGGAAAAAGAGATAGACATTGAGAAGATGCTGCATAAAGAGGTGGCACAGTATGACAGGAAAGACGTGAAAAGTGATATTGATGAATGTCCATCATCAAAAACATCCAGGGAGGCAGACATATGCTCTGAGACTCAATCTTATGTGCTTCAATTAGCTGAGAATGTAGACTGGTTTCAAGACAAACCTCATAGCAAACCATTTCAAACTTTAGATCCTGAGGCAAACAACAATGTGGCCCCAGGCTCACGGCAGATCAAGGAAAAGATGGGATTTAAACCAAGAAAAAAACGAAGACCCCAGAGCCTAAACCTGGGAATGCACACGGAGGTTGTCAGGAAAAAAGCTGCCAGCACTTCTTCTTGTGAGGAAGATGAAGACTCCGACTCAGACAACACTTCAGACAAAACATCTAAACGAGGAAATCATTGTGATTTATCTCCTGATCTCATGACGACAGATGATCAGGGATTAGGAAAGGATTGCTTTGTCAGTTTGTATAAAGATAACCAAAATGAGGATTTGTCAACAGGGGAAAGCAAAGAGTCAAGTCAAGAAGGAGAGCCGGTGAAAAGAAAGGTGAACCAGGCTAGTATTGATTTAGGGTCATTAAATGGACCTGGGAAGATAGAGCATGATAGCTCATTCTCCAGTGTTAAAGGAGAGGGTGTGGTAAAGCTAAGAGGAAAGGGCTTTATTGATAACAAAGAACTTGCAGAAGTAAAACTTCGACAAGTCAAGACACACGAGAGAAAGATTAGTAGCTCTGGTGGAGAGGAAGCTGAAGGATTCTTAGGAGACAGTGGCCAGAGGACATCTCTTCACCGCCTGTCAGGCAGCAGCTTCCAATCAGAAATCACCAAGATTGTTCCTCTGAAGCCAGAAAGGTCAAAGAGTGTTGCAGGGAAGGAGGAAAGGGAGCAGACAAGGCAGGAGGAGCCAGCACGTGTCACCAAACGAGAATACCGCTGGTCTGTTGGCTCTCCAGACGGATCCTTAGAGCTCAACTGGACAGACATCTCAATATTCCATCCTGCAGCCCCAGCAGATCTGCAGGGTCTCACTAAACCTGAACATCTGAACGAAAGCTCCGCATCTGCTAGAGGCTCTACAGAGAATCAGCCGTTCGGCTCAAAAACTTCAGCACTTCCCAAAATGGCTCCCCCAGCTCCACCAGTGAAAACACAGAAGGCCAGGGAGTCTGGACTGATTCTCCGGAACAGCCGAAATGCCGGCAGGGAGCACAGTCTGGACGCAGCCAAGAAGAGACACTCGGTAACTGCTCGGCATCTGCTATTCAGTCATTGGAAACAAAGCATGAGCTTCAGATACACTCGCACGCTGTATTTCATTGTTTCTACGTCTTCAGTGCCCTGAAACACTCATCCATCTTACATGTTTGTGTCTGACTGGGGCGCTAAGCAGTACTTCAGCTTTGTTTACTGGCAAATGTTTGACCAAAAACTTTAAACATTTGCTCAGTTTATTCCCTCTCATCACTCTCGGCATACATTTAAATATTCAGCAAATCTATACAGCACAACACTGGCTGTGAAAGTTTATTAGGCAGAAAAAAACAACAACGTTGACTTGTCTTAGCCTTTTTTTAACTTTAGATAAATCTCACTGGGCTGAAAATTAAAAATTGCCATAAAAAGACATACATTTAATTTCAATCTATTTGATTTCTGTGCTTTGTAACTATGTAAGCAGTAAACCATCACCAGTGACCAGTGACTATCTTAGCAGATGCACCCATGTTTATGTTTTTATCTACTAGAGTACACTTTGCAATAAGGCTATGCAGTTTTGGACCAGTTTTTCAATAACTTTTAATTTTATTTTTAATATAACTGATGAGGTTTTTAGTGAACAGCTTCCAAGCTAGCACATTTGAGACAGGTTGAAAATGCACACAACAAAACTGAGAAGGGTTTGAGATGTCTGTGAAGGTTATTCTGAAAGATTTTTTGAAAAATATTTTTGAACATGTTA